GTCTCCTGTTGCCTGGGTCTCTGCCGCCTGGCTTCCAAGACCACGGGGACCAGTGCAATCCCTCTTCTACACATAAGGCTGCTGGATGCTTGAAGGCAGCAACCCCCAAAAACTGGCTACAGCTTTCCGCAGTTTACAAGGACTATCACATCCGACCCTCACAGCTCTTCTGTGGGGCACATATTATTATTGTTGTTGTTTCTATTTTATAGAAGGAGAAATAGACTCGGAGAGAATAAACGCATTGTCCAAAGTCACACAGAATTTTCCCGTAAATCCTTTTCGACCTTGTCTTCCCCTGTCACATTCCCTTGAACCTTGTCTTCCTCAAGCTAAAGGCAGTCAGCTCAATTCCTCTTACTGCCATGACGTATCCCTCACTTTTTCCTCACTGCCAGGATGAAAGACTCAGGACGAGAGATCCTGCCTTCTGGGCAGGGAGGGGCAGAAGCTGAACTAGAAACCTTTTCTTGGGAGAGTGAAGGGAAGATGGGCGCCATCAGGCTATAGATGCTGCCAGATACCTGGGTGGGGTGAGCTGGGGGTGCTGTAGTTCATTCTGCGAGGAGTGTGCAAATGAGGGGGGCTTTCCTGGCCCAGGAGGGCTGGGGAGTCCCCAGGGAGAGGTCACTCTGTATCAGTGGAGTCACCGGGTACAGGCCTATGGGGGCAGGAGCGGGAAGTTGGTCCTGAAAAGGCATTTGGAATGGTGTGGCTGGAAGATACTTCTGTGGTACAAATGGGGAAAGTAGACTTTCCCAGAGACACACAGAGAGGGGCAGAGACTTTCCCAGACACACACAGCAGGGCAGGGGCCCAGGTCTAGCCACAGCCCAGCGGCCCCCTGGAGCTCTCCTAGAGGAGTCATGTGCTCAGGCTGTGCGGTGCAAGAGAGTACATCCTCAACTAGGCCCTCGATGGCTCCCGCCAAGCTTTAGAGACAGGGCCTTATTTGAGCCACTTATACTCAGGACACAGTGGCACAGACCAGTACCTGTCCTATAGGGTTCCAGCATGCCATCAGAGAGGGCAGGAGTAACCTAAGGTCACACAGCTAATACGTGGTATAGCCAGGACCTTGTTCTCCAGGGTCTGGGTCTTAGTCCCAGAAGAGCCTCCTGGAAGAACACAGTCTCTCTAGCCCAGACTGAGAGCCATAGGAAGAGGGTACAGGTGTTTGAGGGATTTGGGGTCATCTCTGGCTTCTCCCAACCCTTCCATCTGCCTCCCATCCCACCTGTCAGCCTGTCAACTTGTATTAAGGCAGACACCAGGGAGCTCTGAGGATGAGCTGGGAATTATGAAGTGCCTTCAAAATGGATCATTTATATTTCCCACAACATAAGATTCTGTGCTTTTCACTTTTCACCAGGCAAACTCCTGCCCATCCTAGAAAACCCAGCTCGGAGGTACAGCAAATAACCATGTACAAAGCCACAGAGGGAGTCACATCACATTCCAAAGTATCCTACAGACCATGATCTCCGACCACAATGCATGATAATTAGAAGTCAACAAGAAAAATATAAACCTCCCACAGGCTGAGAAACTAAAACCATACTTCTAAATCATCCATGAGTTAAAGAGGAAATGACAATGAAATTTCAAAATATTTAGAACTGAATGATAAGGAAAGCATAAGCAGTTTCTGTTTCCTTTGTGAAGACACAGTCTCTGGGCCCATGTGCCAAGCATTTATCTTCCGTTGCCTCTCCGGCTACACTCTGCACCCTCCTCCCTCCAGCTCTAGGCTCCGGAGTGCCCACCTCTATGGGCTGCATAGACATTCCATTGTCCAGGGCTTCCGTAGGATTTACCCCCAGTCCTCTGCACCATAATTGCTCTGAGCTGGGTATGCCTGTCAAGCTTAGGCCGCAGCTCCTGTCAGTCGCCCCCTCCTCATAGTACCCACTTTCACCACTACCTCCCAGCACCCCTTCAGCTCAGGGCACAGCTTCGGCCTAGGGTAGATAGCAAAAGGCTGCTCTTGCTAGCCCTTCAGTGATATGCCACCCTGTGGTTTCCCTGCACCCCGACTATACCTCTAAATAGTGCTTTCCTTAAACTCTCCTCAAAGGGCCCAATTTGAGTGTTCCATGTGCTTCCTGTCAATAACCCCATGCTTTTAAAATGCTCGCCAGCAGCCCCTAACCGTGTTCTCACTTCTGGATGACTGAGCTCTGACCTTGTATTATCCCTCTTTGGGTTGTCCCTACTGCTAACTTGTCAGCACCTGAGGTCAGCAACAGGGTCAGCTTCATCACCTGGTCTACTTTCAGGGCACAGAAAGGGTATTGATTAGGATATCAAACAAATGAAGGACTAAATTAGAATTCCTTCTGCATACATGAGAGCGTGCAATTGTTTGCTTGTAGGGGATTTGGGACAGAGTGAAGACTCAGACATCAAGAAAAAAAAGAACTTTAGACTGGGGCAAAAATAGGTGCTTAACAAAAGAATGAATCTTCAGTTCTATGAGCTGGGATTCTTAAGGATTCAGTCTGTTGTCCTGCCATCAAGCAAACAGAAGATCCAGACACAAGGAGAGCCCAGTGGGGCATCAGTGCAGTAGTAAATGCCTACCCCCCCCACCTGTTCATCTTCTGCACCCCTCCAGAGTGACTTCTGTAGCCCATCTCTCGGTCTTGGTCCTCCCATCCTAGAAGGTCTCCAACCTTCCCTCCCATCCCAGAACAGAGTCAGCCAACTGATCTCTGGGCCTGGGGGCCATAGTGCCTTGAGTACTGCTATGGGATATCTGTCTGCCCTCAGGGGAGGAACCTAAGCTGAAAAGCAGAGAGAGCACGTCAAGTCTTAAAGGTTTGGATTTGGCTGGAAGAAAGGAGGTAAAGAAGATATTCCAAACTGGGCAGAGCTGGAACAAAGGTCTTGTGGGGGGAAATGGGGTGACTTTGGGTGAGGAGTGAGGAGAATCTGCCTAGCCTGAGCAAAGACCCCAGCCTTGGTCAGTCGGGGAGGTGAACGTCTGTCACCTGAGCATTCCTCAGGGCCAGTCCTTTCAGTGCTGGGTGAGGGACTCAGCTTGTGTTTCCCAAAGCATTCATTTACCCAGAAAATGGGCATTAAGTGTCTGCTATGTGCCAGGCACTTTGCCAGGAACTTGGGGTACGAGAGTGGAGAGGGCAGCCCCATCCCTGATTGAGCTCAGGGACAACTGGGACACAGATGATTCTAGGAGGACAAGGAAACCACCATTACCTAGCAGCCCCTTTGTTTCTGCTCCACACAGAGGCTGGGTCTGTCCCCATTTCACAGTCGAGGAAGCTGAGGCTGCCTCTGTGGCAAAGCCCAAGGACTTTGCTGCCAGGGCCAGCTGCTCAGTCAGCCCTCCGCCCAGAGGGAAGCTGGGAGCGCGCTTCGGACTTTCCGGAAAGGCGGAGTGCGTCTGTGCACTGGGAGGGGGTCCCCTTTCCCCGCCCCTTCCCCGCCCGG